CTTGTTTTCGTAGACACATTTTTCCAAACCAGCTGTTTATCAGACGGCACCTGTTCTGAACAGCACTTTAACCACCAGCTGAACAATATAAATCGTTTTTCACTGGAATAAAAGCCTCAAAAGCAAACCGGAAAATATTCCCAGTTGAACAGATAATGGGATAAAATAGGGAATCACATAGTCAAACAGTAGCAAAAGATTTAAAATTGATGATTGCTGAACCTTTTAATCCTATCTCGGTGTTCAAAAAGCCTTTATAGATTTAAACATTAGCTGAAAGCCAGGCAGGACTACTCCACACTCAATCTGTAAGTGCTGTCATTTGTGTCAATTCGAATTTTATTTAAAGACAATTAAAGGGTTGTTACCGATGATTGCGGAGACACCTGGGGCGACCTTTAGCTGATCCCCAGTTGGTCTACTCATGAAGAAATGCACACACACACATTTATTTATTTTTTTCTTCCTACCATTTCCTCTCCTGATGTAAAGTCTGGCCGGAAACAGCCATTTCCCTGAATGTTCCCATCTCTCCTCCGGCATACTCCCTCATCCCTGATTCATTGCCAATAAATCTCAGTAAGAGACAGACACAGAGAGAGTGAGACAGAGTTAGTGAGGAAGCAGCACAAGAGATTAAGAGAAGTGGAGAAGGAAGCGGAGATGACAATATAAAACAGTAAAAAGTGCACTGGAGATTAAAACAGAGATGGGTGAAAAAACAGATGCGAGTTCGTCAAACACGGCGCAGGTCAAACATGGTTGAATCTACATCAAAGTAATGGCATCTTATTCAGGAGAACAATAAAAAAAACATAAAAGATGCCAGGAAAACAACAATACACTGGTATGTTTTGGTTAATGAGGCCTGATCTGAAATAAATGCTATAGGGCAATTTGCTACTTAAACCTTTTTATGACCAGCTTGATTACTAAAAGCAAAAGAAGCAAACTTCAATCTGTTAGTTACATCTTAAAACAGACTGAAACAATTTCTYCACTCCCCTCCTCATCTTTCCTGCCCTCTATTTATAGTTGAGTAATGCGCGCCACCTGCAAACCCCACCCTAACGGAGAGGCTTTTGATCGAGCCCTCCCTCCTGTTTKCTTCGTGACACAGTGGCTCCAGTTACGGCGGCCGCTTCCCCTGTCCAACCATCAACATCACACCTCATTACAACACAAGAGATTTCAGTCAGCACTCCAACTCGGCTCGTTTTTCTAAGGCTTTACATTGTCTCCTAAAAATAAAGGCTGGCATTTATGTCCCTGTGGCACACCAGCCCTGCAGGGTCCATTAAGTAYCTGCTTTAAAGCTTTTGATCTGAACACCCTGCTCAAAAATGAAAATTAGCCACAATGGAGCGACAGCTGGGTAAACACAAAAGCTCCACAACAGTCACTAAATGGACCTTGGGGCAAAAACGTTTGTCAAAAGGATTTTTCTTTTCCCGGCTTAAAAAAGGCACTAAATTTGCTGTCTAACCTGGACATCACATTTCTATCTTTAGCCACTTAAACAGAAACCAGCTACTGATGAATTCTGTGAGATTTACTCCTGATCTGCGTAATCTGTAACCTTGTCTGTTTTAAGAGATAAGAAATGAGTATGAAACTTGAGTTTCAACGCAGGACGCTTCCCTAAACCAGCAGCCGATTGCACAGGAACTCATGCTATCGATCAGGAAGGTGCCGATTGCCAGTCTACCCATTTGTAGGTGCAAATGAGGAGATGGAGTAACGTGGAAATGGAAGCTGACTCATTGCCTGCCTATTCTGTTGTATCTGTGGCACACAGAAGGATGTTCATGTTCTGAGGCAGAGCGTGTCTGTGCCTCCCTATACAGTCTCTGTAGTAGCTGAGTGTATATAATTATATGTTTGCAGTTCACAATTTATCACAACAAGGCTTGAAATCCGTCAGTGTGGTGGAAAACGATCTAGATGCAAATATGGAAACCTAAATTTTTTAATCGAGCTGCTGCGGTGAATTTTAACTTTGAGAAACTTTGCAGTGGACTGGTGGAAACGTGGCAGGCCCAAGCAATATTAATTCAAGTCAAACTGAAAAATAAATATAAAATAAATAGTGTGGCACAAAATAATTTAAGATGGAATGACAAGAATTCTGGATTACAACATTTCCTGGAATTTGTTTATCCAGGGCAGGAGCTGTGTAAACACCTTCCACATACAGAACCTTATCACATCTGCACAAAAAGCAGCGTGTCGAATAAACTGTATTCTAATAAAAAAAAGTTAAAGAGGGACTTTTTTCCGGTAACATTTCAGCTTCGTCCAGTATTATTGAGTTTGTATTTAAATTTTGACTATTGTATGTGGAGAACTTTGTTACATCTGCAGAACATTACACCCATTCCCCTRAGGCCTGGACCGCACAATGAGAGGTTTCAGGGAAAACCTGAACCTCATATTGTGATGCCCGTTCTTCACAGTTTAATGTGGAATCTATTTGACTGATATAACATCTTTTCAACGAGCATCTTTACGAAGCAGAAACATGTGCGATTAGCAAAAACAGTTGGCCAAGAAAACTCCAGCTATTCACAATTTTTCCCTACAGGGTTTCCTGCTCTGATCAGCAGGGGCAGATGGACCCCCTCATTACAGCGACCGCAGTTGAAAATGAGAGCAAAATGAGGCCCATTACCATGCGGGCGTGACTAATATCCCTCTGCAGACCTCTCCACACACTCTGGACAACACGCACACTTATCTCGAGCGCGCGCACGTTACATTCGTACACACACAAGTGGAAAAACAGGCCAGATGTGCACATTGTGATGCTCATTATTTAATAACGTTAAACAGAAACTGAGACGAGAGGAAGTTGGTAATAAACTTTGGCTCCATAATATTGAGCAGACCTTGGCTGTTCTGTGGGGAGGGGGGCGGGGGTCTACAACAGGTTTGTGAACATGCTCTAATTCCACATCAAGTCGTACATTTCCACACCTATTTTAAACCATCATCACACCACCTGACCAGTTTCTATTTCATGTCTCGTGAGCGTCTCTCATCTCTTTTATGTTTACGTTCACAACAAAGCCATGTGAGTTTAAGAATCCACCTCTGGTCAAACTAGCTTCAATACGCAGCTCCAAAATCAAAGCTTTACATTGAACCTTCCCATTTCTTTATCCCTTCTTTACAGTCATTTCTACTTTTCTCAATAATTATTTGCTACTTTCTTCTCTTGGATTAAAAATAAARTCCATTTCAAATTGACTGAACTGATCTGAGATACATAATGCTGCTCAGACCTGGCATCAAGTGTTTTTTTWAATGTATTTCACCCACATCATTTCATGCTCCACTCATCTCTTCATCCCTGTTTCACTTAAACCATTTCTCCTCCTCCGTTCCACCTTCGTGTCTTCTGRGTTTTAACCGCACTCCCTTCGACTTCGGTGATCAAGTCTGCTGATTGATTTATAACCTTGCAACAGGCTGGCGGATGGGAGGAGGAGGAGGAGGAGGAGATGAGGGGAGGGGAGGCAGATCCAGAGGGGAGGGGCTGAGCAGAACCGGGGCCGCTGGGTGTTTGAAGTACATGAAGGAGTAATATAAAATACACCTGGTCCATCCACGGGGCACTCTGTTCATAGAAACAAAGGAGGGGGGTGCAGAGGAGGAGAGTGGAGAAGGCTGGTCCGCAGGGGAGGGAGGAGAGGATAGGACGGGGTGGGGTGGGGGGCGAATCTCTCCGTGTTTCCTTTCAGAATGGCTTTTATGGTGTAACTTCAAACGTTGACCTCCCACACCCCCCCGCCCCTCAATCACACCGCTCCCTCGCTCCATCCGTCCGTCCAGTCGCCCCCTCCCTCCACGTTTTCACTATTGTGTATGACCAAGTGGACAGTAATTGGCTATTCTTTCATGAGGCTGATTTTGGCTCTGCCTCCCCCTCCTCCTCCTCACAGGAAGAGGCCCTTTAGCTGCCCCTTATAAGTAAAGCGTATGTGAGTAAAAAAAAAAAACACCAGACAGTGAGTATCAGGTGAATTGACGGGGGCTGCTCTGGTATTTTATTCCCTGGAAATTAAGGTAATCTCATCAGATTCCTCTATAAGTTTTAATGGATTTCAAACGTGGCTTAAATATCTAGAAATGAACTTAATATTGCTAAATTACAAGTTCTCAAAGCTGAAGTACAAAGTTTTCTAGAGAACTTTAAAGRTCTAAGAAGGCCGTTGTCTTGGCTAAATTGTATTTAATGACACTAAGGGGTACTTGCTTAACTTATTCATGAGATAAAATGCGAGATAAAAAATAGGAGAGGGTTTGGAAAGGCCTCCAACAGTTTACAACATCTGAGCATATTGTGAGTGATATATAAAAGCCGCTCTACTCTGGCTAATGACTTCTGGCCCTCTGTGGCCCATAGATCAGTGTGCTTTCATTAGTGATGCAGGCGTGTGCAAGTGTGTGTGTCAATTAGTGGGTGGAGGGGATTAGCTGTCTCCAGAGATTCCTAATTAACTCAACACATGCAAGCACAACTATGAATTTTGTTGTTTTTCTAGATTTTTGTCATCGTTTCTACCTTTTTATTTAGCGATTAGCATTAAATTCATAGGAGGATGTGTGYAAATAAAAGGGAAGATGAAGATCAAGTTTTGAAGCTCAATGGTGGCCTCCTCCAGAAAAAAAGAAAAAGAAAGCATTTACAGTTTGTRCATTGCCACAGGCGCACAGTATGTGATGTACACAAGTTCTTAAAAGGTTAAAGATGTTGGGAGAGGACACGACATAAACACAGACTTAAAAGTGCGGGGCGGTCTGGCCTCGCAGACACAACACATCAACAGAGATAAATGTGTTGTCCGACAAACAAAATTACTGCAAAGCTCAAAAATTACAGCAGCTTTTGCCTAAAAAAAKCCCCCACAAGAYCTAAAGAGGCTTCCAGAGGAAAGAGGGGGCACATCCGAGGGTAAGAAGTGGAGATAAAGGACTTAATGCTGACGAGTGCCTACCTCTTTGTAGTTCACCTTGGGCTCTGGTCTCTTCCGCTTTCTGCCCTTCCCCTGGTGACTCCGACTGAAGAGAATCCATTTTACAACCTGCAGGAGGGAGGACAGTGGGGGTGAGGTGGTGAAGGCTGGAAAAAGGAGGTTTTGTACAGATAAACAGGAGAAAGTAAAAAAAGTAGCAGGAGGGGAGCGAGGAGGAACACAGCATGAGAGAAACCAGGAAAAAAAGGGAGATAATCTTACATTAATCATATAAAGGTGGGGTGGTGATGGAGAAACAAAGGGTGGTGAATGACAAGACAAAATGGTTGTTTTTATCAGCAAAACGACTCTACAGAAATACTTTTACTGAACTATCGGAGAGTAAAACTGACAACCAAAAAGTGGCCTAAATCCAGCCGACTGGCTTCCAACTTTTCTGCACTTTTTTTTATACACATCTAAGCCAACAGAAACATCTGGCTCAGACAAGAGAGTTAAATTATAGAAAACAGAATCTCACAAAGTAAGCAATCTCCAMGTTTCACAGATAAAATCCAAAACAAGGTTTATTGAAAAAGAACAGAACATAAATTAGACTGGCTGTGTTTGTAATGCGTCACTAAAGCTTTTCTTCAGTGTTTTAAAGTACAAATAATCCTTCTAAGTTTGATTGAAAACAGCCTCAACACAAAGGCAGATGAAAGGATTTGAGAATATAGGCAATGCAATTAAGAACAACATGGGAGCATTATGGGAAATCTGATAGGCAGGCACAAAATGACACGCAACAGATGCACAGCGCCGTGTGCCGCACTTCACTCGGAGGCAGACAGAGGGAGAGACTGAAGAGACTGAATGAGAAAAAGAGAGGTAAACAAAGTGCAACAGAGGTAAAGATAAGAGACGGCATCGTTAACACTACGAAAGAAATTGAAGGTTTGAAAAAGTAAGACGTCAAACGGGAGAGGCGAGGAGGCATGGCTGGAGAACAACTTCTTGTAAGAAAAGAGGCTGATTTAAAAATAAATAAATAAATAAAAAGATAATCACATCAAGCAGTTCTGTGGGCAATGTTTCCAATCTGAGAGCTGCCACTCCCTGAAGATGAGACGAAGAGAGATGGAGGGAGAGAAGAGGAGTGAGGGAGCGCCTACCTCGGCTTTGACTTCCTCCGCCAGCCCTGCCTGTGACCACACGGCGCTCCTTTCATGCAGCCACTGAACGACAGAAAAGAAGGAGAAAAGCGATCGAGACGGAGTGGAATGCTTTCACAGAGGCAGAGAGAGAAAGAGAGAGAGAGAGAGAGATCCTGAGTGGAGCAGGAAGGGGAGGGAGGAGAGGAGTGGCGGGAGGAGAGGGAAGAGGTGGGTGCGCTATCACTTGTTCCTCTGACGGAAACTCAGTCCAGGAGAGAGAAAGGAGTAAAGTAAAGAAGAGAGGAGGAGGATAAAAAACATTACCTGGTTTGTATAAAAGGATGTCCAATCTTCTACACATCCATACACACACACACACACTCATAATTTAGTCATGTAAACACACACCTACATACAGAGTGGCCAATGGACACACACACTTGAAGGCTTATTAAAGGCTTCAACAAACAGTGCTGGAGGGATGCACAAGAGCACAGGTTTGTTTATGTATTTCTGTTTAAAAAAAGAGACAGAGTGTATGGAAGGAAGGCATTTATACACACACACACACACACACACACACACACACACACACACAC